CATCGACTCTTTATCATTTTAGGGCGCACACGAATGTTAATCGAGTCTATAAAATGTATTTTTATACACGTTATTTCTTAAAATCGTGCGTTGATATCAATTTGTTGGGACGTGACGGGAATTTGATAAAGTAAGCGTGTGCGCGCGTGCCGTTGTAATCCTAAAAAATAATGCCACACATGAAGGGAGACTGGCTGACATTAGCAATAGCAGCAAAAGATTTACGATGGAAGGATGACGGAAGCATTTTTCATACTTTTATTGTACGTCCTCGAACAAAAAATGCTACTGACAGATGGGTCGTTATGAAATTACTCTTGTTAAGAACGACCTTCTATCCACCAGTCGCTGATATTTGTAACAAGTTTGGGATAATTGTGATTACAATAAAACAAGAGATACAGCATTCGTCATAAATTGCAAAAATAAATAGAACAGTCTAAAAGAACCTCCATCTATTCAACCAACAGAATTTATAAATCGAATCGTAAAAAGAGATCACAAAAAGTATCTACTGTATCCACAATCCACAAAGAAGTATCCATGTCAGCCGATAAAACCTTTTTGCTCTATTTAACGGCGATGAAAATAAAAAACCTCCTTTTATCAGAGAGGAAATTCAATTATCTGTAACATAGTTACTGGTTGGAATGGCAGAGTAACGTCCGGCCGAAACGGGGAACTTTAGAGGAGCGCGCCTAGGGCTGGGTAAGGGTAGTTAGCAGTTGTTTGCATACAACCCAAAAGCCCCTTTTTGTCATGTCCTGAATAATGGTATTGTTAATAGCCGCGTACATCATATTATACGTACCTATATAGTATGGACCCACAAATGGAAAATTTATGTACACAAGTGATTTACCGCAGCGCCCATTGACATAGAAAGTTTCGATGCTGCGGTTTGTATTCGCAATCGCGAGGCTGTTGATTTTAAATTATATTTAATGGCTACCTACTTACAGTATTTCATTTATTAATAGCTTTGCAATAACTAAAAAGAACCTACTTTTGTATGTTTAATTTGCAAAAGGAGGTACCTACCGAAGTGGACACAAGTGTTATACTTATTGTTATTTTTATAAATTACTATAGTGTCTATCTATAGGTCTGACAAACTTCTATCATTAAGAGAATGTTGAAACCAAAATCCTGTATCAAAACTGACCCCTCACCTATGATGTAGTTGATCTAATTAACTTAGCTAGTACCCTAGCTACACAATCATTTTCAACTGCACTGTAGATAGACTTATCAGTTCTCACAACGATTGCCAGCCAGGCTGCTATCAGCTCAGAACATCTAGCCAGCCTGTTTTACAATTCATGTCAGTTAAACGTACCGAACGTGATACGTTTTCACAGTTCGACAAATTCATTCTATGAATGTACTATTAGATAATGTATTAGCACTTCGTTCGTGCGTTCTATTCTTGGACCAGTTTTTTATTACGAGAAAAGGTCTAGAATTTCTTAGCGCTAAGATATCTCTATCTAATTTTATTTGTAGCTGTCAAAGAGACTAGACTAGCTATTACAGAAAAAAGAACTCGTACATTTTTCATTACAAAGGTCTTTCTCTAGAGGTTTGTTGGTTGCTTTGTAGAATTCCTAAGAATGTAATACCTGTTCACCTATCTCAATTTCTCTGATAGGTCATAGGTGTCTGTTAGACACATACGTCATGATATTTGGTAGTTTTGATCTCAAATATTTTATTTTATCTTTATTCTTAGCAATGGACTTAGACATAGAGAGCTTGAACTTGTCTGTTACTCAGGTAAGTTGCCTTGGTTGGACGTCACAGTGCGCTACTAAAAGTAATTGTAACAGGATACAGTGCGGTGCGCATGCGCCGGGCCGTGTCTATCCAGCTCTCCTAACCACCGATACATAAACACTTGGCCACCAGACCAACCACTTTCGCAAAACGTGGACCGGCTTTTAGCAAAAATTTGATCAGTGAAAGTCAAGAGTGATACGTAGACTGCGCCCGCGATACTCTCAGGGGTACCTACGTTTGATTAATTTAATCGATAGTCTCGCTAGAATAACTCCGAAATATTTCATTAGAGACATTTTGCATTAGCTCTCAAGATTTTTATGTCAGCCCGAGCACTTTACTAGTAATGGAGGCCCATAGTGTTAGATTGCGTCGCAGCTTCGGTACTATCTCCAACTTGACGACCGGCCTTTCCTTTTTTATGTCCAATACCGCCAGTAGAGCACATTTAATTAACAGAACTAAAATTTATGTGGTCCCTGGTCGCTTCAAAAGTCCGGCCAATATTTCACCGGCGCGATAACAGCAGTTGAAACAACAGTCATTTATATTAAACTTATCTGAATTATTCTGAACAGACAGGATCTTCGCTGGACCTTACATTATCAGATGGCAGCGATATTAAAAAGATCCCATTATGTTGTAACACACTTTCTCCTTTGTCGATTTTTATAGCTGACAACACTAGATAACTATACTTATAGTAGCAATATATCAATTTACATTTCCATTAGCATTAAAATCAAGTTGTTATCGTTCCATTAAACCCCCTAATCGACTGCCACGCTACAGATATTTACAAAATCGTAAACACGATATTTATTCGGTTCGTAATCATTTAAGTAATCTACGCCGTTTTTATGATTATGCAAAACGGTTTCGAATATCAAAACGATTTCGGTTTCGGCTTTGAACATGATTCACAGGGATAGTGATGGTTTATCGGGATTATTAGATTGAGTAGCCGTGGTTCGTAGTGAGCCAAAGTCAATATACTTAGAAGGCAGTAGCTCGGCAGTCGGGACGCTATCGTCAGATATGGCGTCAATTTGCAGTAATGCGGCGGGCAGGTTCAAGTTACTTTTTATAACACACTCGAGGTCGTTGACTGCAGACTAAACAACACATAGTACTTGGTGCAAGGTGTCAATGCACCAGGAAAACATCCGACCTTCGTTACAATTAGGTATTGTTAGACAGTTGTGAGAGCAACATGTCACATCTTCCAAGGAAAGGTTAGTTTCTTCTAAAAACGAAAAATAGGGACAGTAGACAAGCATAACGTTAACAACACAAAACTTTTGTTTTACTCTGTAAGTAGTATATCCATGAAAATAAATCTAGGCAAACTCAAAATTCTAAAACCGAAAATACTAATATTTTGGTGACTCTCTAAAATCCGAATCTTGTAGGAAATTTTGTATTAGTTACTCCAAAGCTACTACCAAAGAATCAACTTCTTGCATAGTACCTGCAGTAAATTGTCTACGTGACACATGTTTTCAGTACAACGACGAATATTCGATATCAGTGTCAATATTAAAGCTGTCGATGCAATGCTGCACGTGCGTCATATGATATCTGTTATCGACAGTATTGCCTGCACACACAAACAAGTGAAAAACGGATACCTACGTCACAAATATACCGATTTTTGTTTGCCAGTAAATAAAGTCAAACTATTGCGTGTCAAACTCATCCGGAACCGTGACATCGTTTCTTCATTTTGAGTCCGTGAATAATACTCGTTACGAAACAAACACATTAAGAAAAAGATTGTTATACAAAAATAGCACATAACCAACCAACCTTAATTGCTGCCAAAATATGCAATCGTGATAAAAGAAATACCGCAATATATTACTTGTCTCGCCATCTTAATGTATTCTTAGAAATGCTTCCAAAGCTACATGTGGCTTTAGAAAGATCAAATGATAAACGACATCGCAAAATGGACCGGTTCAAAAAGTCATCAGAATACAGCGAGTGTCATCCCGCTGTCGCCGCACAGCCGTTGCGATTTATCATCTCTTGTATAGGCACTCTAATTGCGACAACTTGTCGCCATGTCCAATCGTAAAGATGATATCTCCCCTTACACCGAGCCGCGACCACGTCTCTCGCGGCACACTCCCAGCAGCCCTTATTTCATTAAACTTTTCAACTCCAACGTTTACAAATGCAGTGCAATTTTGTAAACGTTGCTTATAGCCCATTTGGAGGTCAATGAACCACAATTAGCAGTCAAGAAATAATTCTACGACCACCTTCAGAAGGGTCGCTGGATGAATTTTAATTAGAAACTTTCAGAGTTTAAATCTTGGTGGAACATTAAAATGATAAAATATTTAGTTTGGAGAGTGTTAGGTTCCATCCGAGGAACAATGGTAGCATTGTGTAGAGCTAATAGCTGGCATAGTACCTGTAATGTAAAAGGTGACCGATTTGCCTACATTCATTACACGGCCCAGCCTGGGCGACTGACTGGCGCTACATTACATTAAAACAGTTCCCTGCCCTGTCTCTACATTAAGCACGTACTTAGTCCACTAACTAATATTATTTGTGACGGTTACCTACTAAGCAGTAAACGTCGCCTTAGATAGATTGATGATTAGGATTATTGATTTATTGGTCCACATCTAGGTCGGTAGGACCGAGCGTAGCGCTGCAAAACTAAGAGCTAAGCTGATCTATTGACCCGTCATATAAACCCGCTCGAACGTTTATTAGCAAAGTCAAGATCGTCTCTTATGAGTACGTTAGCTGTATACTGTATCTGGGTTACTGAGATAAGATCTGAAGGTGATTGCCGATCTACCGATTCTACTTGACTATTTTTCTACATATCCGTGTAGACACAATACCCAATTTGGCAAAGTCATACAGCAAGCGTACCGTGACTTCGCACTTTTTTGCCAAATCAACCAGATGGTTGGATAATAAAACAATATTTCTGCTCATTTGTGAACATAATAGCACCGTGTCATCGACAAATTGTAACGGATCAAATTAATCTTGTTCAGTTGTTGTAATGGTTTGTTTTGTCGAAATAATGATTGTGCGGGCATTGTGGTCAGCCCACGCAGGTCAATATTTTACCAATCTTTCACGGTCACTGGAAGCCCTTTGTTTTGTTTTCATTTAAAATGGGAATTGAACCGGAGTCCATTAAACTAACCGCAATACAATTTTCGGGCTATACTTGTGCATACTACGTTTTAATTAAACCGGGGCCCGACTTTTAGTGTGGCGTACCTACTTCGTAATAGCTTTACGTACAAAACGACCACACGCCACCAATTAGGTCCTGCCATCAAGTACAGGATTTGCCAATATCGATATGATCCCATATTTATTGATTTACAGGCACTAACATGATCACAGCCACAATAGACGATGATGAAATTCAAATTACCGTCCCAATTTGATTTCATTACTAAGAAAGAACAATCAAATTTTCGACGCCGGTGTCTATACATCCGCCAGAGCGTGTGAAAGGGGCTTAGAAGACACACAGAAGCACTTGACATAGGAACGAATGACATTAGTTACATAGAAAAAATATTCGCTGTCTGGAATGTAGATCATAACCACTTATAGTTTTATGGCAATGTGAGTCTACTGCATCATAACATACCACATGTGCTGCTACAGAATGGATCACGATCTAAGTGCAATTGCCACTTGTCCGTATTAACTTCCAATGACAGAGGAGCTAAGTGCGAGAAGCTATTAAGTCGATATTAGATTGCCAGGGCTGGCGGTGGCGGCACGGCCCGCTTGCCCGGAGCCAAGCGTTTGATTAGCTTGTTATACCGAGTATTTGCTCTGGATTTCGCGGCGTGTCTTATCTATGCAAGACCGTCGTGTCATCCCATATCATCTTACAAGAGTGTGATATGAATCTCTGCTGCTGCTGCTGTTATTAGCAGATAACTTTTGTTTACTTGACCGCGTTTTATATGTTCTTTAACATAATTACTGTTTCGATTCGTTCTGCAAAAGTTATTAAAAAACTCATAACATTTCTCTCTTGCCCTACAATTAACATTGAGATTTATATCTCGCAAATAAATGTCTTACAAATTATAGACCTGCGAAAAGTACTGCGAACAAAGTTAAAAGGTTAACAGGGTTATTGTGACGGTTTGTATCGATTGTGGTGACTCGTGACGGAGATGTCCTCAAGTCCTCGCGCTAGGCAAGGTGCGAGGCTGCGCGGGAGAGGGCTGCGCTCGCGCCGGCCTCGATGTGCCGCCGCCTTATATGGCGCTGGCGGCCGACGGGCTCTGCGGCGACTTGCAACAGACCAGGTATTTTAGGCGCAGGCCCTAAATTGTTTACGTGTAACTCGCATGCACTTAATTTCATTTAAAATGTCATGGCGCTACTTAACAAGTGTTACACTTGTTTTTAATTCATACAGCACTAACTACTGCGACCTAACGCAGAGATCTTAGTTAATTACTTCTGATTATAGTTAAACGTTAGCAAACGACATTTCAATCACGACTGACAGCTTTGCTACCCATTCTCAGCAGAAGATAAATTCCTAAGTCGGCGTTTAAGTAAAACGCGAAGAAGAAATTCTTAAAGTTAGTCGTCAACTAGTTGCCATACAAAAGTGTTTAATCATTAATGACATCGCCGAAAATGTCTCTGATATCCCAAACTAGGTCGAACAATCGAAGATTGGAAGTAGCGAGAGATACAGGAGCGATGGATTATTATGTAGCCTAATAAGGGTGTCGGGAGCATTCCCACCGCGGTGCAAAGGACACCGCCGAGGACGGCGCGCAAGAACCAGCCGAATACTGGTCGCGGTTATTTTAAGGAACAGACGATTCTGCGAAGCCACGCACGCGATGCACGCAGTCATCGTAATTTGGACGCTTTTGATTTTTTGCCGTTTTGTCGAAACCGGTCGACGGGTCGAGTCTGTGAATCCTCGTGAAAATATTGCTCGCAAATTGTCACGTGTTTACACCAAAATATTTAAAAACTCAATCGCAGCGACTGAACAAAGACAGCGGTATTACTTCACACATCGATATCGAAACTGTTGTAACTGTCACAGATCGTTTAAAAGTTTCTGTGTTATGAAACTGTTGAACCAAAACACTGTTCAACTGTGTTAACAGTGACATGTTCTGTTTATGTTACCTACATTCGGAGGTAGATTACTTTCTTCGAAACAACGAATACATATATCTTCAGTGGGCAAGAAACGCCACATAAAGTATTAAATGTTCGATAAACCAAAACAGAACCGCGTACTTATCGCTTTATCGAGACATTATCAGCATCGATAAAGGAACCGTACAAAGTGTGGATATCTACGAATCAGTCGAGATAAGCTTGCAACGTATACCATGAACAAGTAAAATGTATTGAAAGTGAACACTCGATAATACATTGCCGTACTGCAGTCTGCAAGTAGGTATGCAAGAAGCATAAGGATGCGTCCAAAACAACCTTACTCATGTATATTAATAGCGATGATCTTAGTGATAATACAGACCCCAACTGAATAATTGGGAACAGGGCATTCACTTGATCATTAAAGCTACGTAATTAGATAAAAAGAATACATTAGAAGACTGAAGAATACGCAGAATAAAATTCTTCAGTCTTCAGGAGTTCCAACTCTCAACCACATAGATGAACAAACAAGACAGAAAGACTGATGACTGAACATTAATTCGAATGACTATTTATGCAGACAGTATTACAGCATCTAGAATGTTTGTTATCGGCCAAGCAGACAGACTTGCTTCCAATGAATATTCAGCCACTAATATCCCGGCCACTCTAGTGTATCGATATTCGACAGCCACTCGAGACGTATTATTGCAACAATTATTATAAATACTTCCATACAAGTCCTTATACGACGGTAATATTGCGAAAAGGAGTGATTGCTAAAACCAGTGGTGCTTTTCTGTTAGCTTCAAGCTAGAATTAACTCTTTAAAACGTGAGTGAGTCTACGAACATATTTACATTAACTACACCAGACCAGGGACAAACGCTAAAATGGAAACCTTTTTCACGACGCGCCCTTTTATGCGGAACATTTTCAGTTGTTTTATAACGTTGTCTTTTTTAGTTAATTTTTAATTAAAATAGAAATAATTAATATGTTTTTCGGCTTACTCACGTAACTAATTATTTGACGAGAATCTCGACTAGTTTCAAGCCATGCTAGAGGCTCATATTCTCACGAAGGTTAAACTAGACCTCTTCAATAAGGGATTGCTAAAAGGAGCGCCCTAAAAGGATTTTTAAGAAAACCTACCTACCATGACTTACTAACTACTACAAATACACCATTCATGAGGCAATAATATCATGTTTTATGCTCAAAGCTTGATGGCGATGCTCGTTCGGCAGCGATCCATTATCGTAATAGGGCCAGCTAAGATGCAGACAATGTATTTACGATAAGCATACTGCCTCAGGATAACCCAGTTAGCAGAAAGGCTTCTCATGTTCGTATGCGCCACGTGCAGTACCCCTAACATTGTCTAGACGTAATAAAAATAAATTTAAGATATAAACTCTCTAGTTTAAGTGCACCTGAATAACAAAATATACGAAATAAATTTTAAAATTCTTGCAGCATAATATTGTCGACTATGTCAACTTAATATATATTCTTCAAGAACTTTATGAAACTTTTAGTTCATTTAATTTTATAAAATGTTCAGTCGTGTCGTACAATTTCCTTTTCATTTAAAAGTAAGTGCAAGGTATTCTATAACTTCGGTTTATGACTTCATTTACGGTTTAAATAGCGCCGTGAACTTTAAAGTTAAATGTTTTACTTCCTTACTGGAGTAAAGAGTAGGCGTTTATTCTGCAAAACAATGAACTAAGGAAGTTTCATGCATGTATTAACAGCGTCTTAAACTACGCCTATATTATAAACCAGATTATCTGTAATATGATAACATTCGTACACAATTTTATTATTCCGAGAAGTTCATTGTTCCTAGTATGTATACTTATTGTAAAGTAGGTAATATTTTGATTACCTACTCGAAAGTGTAGGTAGATGTGTGGGAAGCTTGTCAAATTTTAGCAATTATTATTACGTTAATTATGAACACTTAAGTATTTTAGATTAACCTTTAGTGCCCACTCACTGCTTTAGTCAGTATAATAATTATCGCGATTTGTGTAATAACCTAAAATTATAATGAAAAAGAAAAAATCATGGTAAAAAATATTAAGCTGTTTATTTAGGCAGAATATAACGAAAGTCATGAACTTTATCTTTGTAGCGAAACAAAACAATATTAAAACTTCCATAGATGACCACAGAGTAAAAAGTAACTTTAGATCTTTTAAAATTTCGAATGCCACAGTATGGTGTCCGTGAAAAGATTCCAATTCTAAGCATTCATTTCGGATTCATGTAAAAAATATCTTGCCCATATAAGCGTGTGGAAGGACATTCTTCCACAGTGCAAAGTCAAGCCTTTCGGAGTATACTTTTTGTTACGATCTTTTACGCGACCCTTGTTGCCTTATACAGCTTACAGAAAAACAAACAAACTACCACTATGGCACACAATAAACAGTAAATTATTCTACATAAATATTTTATTACTATCGTAAAACCTTTCTTAAGAATTTACTTTCAATAATTCAATTTTGTTGGTATCGTTATAAAAAAGAGCATTATTTTGTAACTAGCCTCCGCCTACGGTGTTGTCATTCGGAAAATTTATTAATTATGTTACATTATGTAACTATTTTATCAAACTATCTTTATTTTAAATTTTATCACAATTAAGCAGCGTTTTAGAAAATGAGACGTAACAAACAAATAAATGGCGAATAAACATTTGACTTTCTAAGATTATTTAGACACCACTGACAAACGGTGAAGGAAAACATCGTGAGGAAACCTAGACTTATTATTTCTAATTATAAGTTTGAAATCGCCAACCCGCATTGAGCAAGCGTGGTGATTAATGCTCAAACCTTCTCCGTGTGAGAAGAGGCTTTGCTCAGCAGTGGGCATTTATAGGCTGTTGATGATGATGATGATGAAACATTTGACTAGAATAGTTATCAGACTGGTTTAGGCATAGATATTTAATTTTTCTGTGGTTTTAACTAACGTTACGTTTATCTATGACAATGTATATTTTCATCAATGGTGACTACATAAAGTTAACTTGTCTACTAAGCTAAGCTTCTCCGAACTCATGAATCACGTTAGAACCATGCAGGATTCTGTTAGATGTACCTATGCGGACATCACCCGACTATGTAACTAGACGACTAGATCAAGGTGACCTTATTTACTTAGCGTACGCCTTTGTCCAAATCCTTACTGAGAAATAACTAGTTACTCGGAATTTTGTTTTGGCTCCTTCTAGCTTCGTTTAAGTAAACGAGAGAGAAGATTTGTATGTAAGAGCTATAGTTAAAGTAGGTATGTAAAGTTTAGAGTTCGGATTCCAAATTTTGAAATGCCCTTCTTGACTTTAGAAGCACGTTTTGTCATCATGGTGTTTCCAAAAAGAGTAAAT